CGCAAGATGAAGGAGCGGCTGGGGCTGACGGAGATCCGCAAGCAGGCCAACCGCATGAGCTTCGGAGAGGTGGGCCTGGGCCCCGCCGGCCTGTCCCTGCTGCGCTCCTGGCTCTGTCTGTGGCCCTCAGACCTGGCACCACCCAGCCTCCTCCCTGGTCCCCATCCCCAAGCCCCTCTCCCCTTGGCTCTCCATCAACCCAGGATCCTGGTCTGGGCCCTGCTGGCCACCCGCCCCTCCTCCCCTCCCCTCCCCTCCCATGCCCTGCGTCACATGCCCTTCCCCAGTCTCACCGGAGCACCCTCCTGGTCCCACGAGAACCACACTCTCACACACACCCCACCTGTCAGCCTGAGGAGCAGTCACAGGGCCCACGGGGGGCCCCAGGACGGGCTGGTGGGGCGGACGCCGGGGGTTCTAGCCGATCGAGGGGTGACTGACTTCGGACGCCTCGCCTCCCCCAGATCGAGGAGGACGCCTACCAGGAGGACCTGGGCTTCAGCCTGGGCCACCTGGGCAAGTCGGGCAGCGGGCGCGTGCGGCAGACGCAGGTGAACGAGGCCACCAAAGCCAGGATCTCCAAGACGCTGCAGGTGCGGCCGGGCCCGGCGGGGGGGATAGGTGGCCCTGGGGGAGGGCCCAGGTGGGCAGCCCAGCTCACAGCCGCCCTCCCCCTCCCCCCACAGCGCACCCTGCAGAAGCAGAGCGTGGTGTACGGCGGCAAGTCCACCATCCGCGACCGCTCCTCAGGCACCGCCTCCAGCGTGGCCTTCACGCCGCTCCAGGTACCGGGAGCCCCTCCCCGGCTTCAGGGGAGGGAGGGGGGTGCGTGTGGGGCGGGGGCTGATGTCCAGGCGCCAGGCCATCTCCTCACCCAGCTGCGTCTCCCTCCCTCCCCCGCCAGGGCCTGGAGATCGTGAACCCCCAGGCGGCCGAGAAGAAGGTGGCGGAGGCCAACCAGAAGTACTTCTCCAGCATGGCCGAGTTCCTCAAGGTCAAGGGCGAGAAGAACGGCCTCATGTCCACCTGAGGGCGCGCCCGGGCGCCGCCCACGGCTCACGCGGAGGCCACGTGCGCCCGAGGGGCCAGGGCCGGGGGCTCCGGCGGGGGAGCCGGCCACTGCCCAGTGCCCAGACCGACCAGGGGGCACGGAGGCCCCCGCACCCAGATCGCCGCCCCAGTCCGGGGCAGAAGGTCCTTGCCACACCTCGTCTTTGTCCCTTTACCTGGGAAAGGAGATACTTTGGGGGAAAGTGTGATTAAAAGGACATTGTCAGAACCTGTGATCGTGTGTCAAGCACCGCAGGAGCCAGAGCTTCCGGGTTTGGGGGACAGAGCCTGGGCCCCAGGAAGAGGAGCGCCCCCTCCGTCCACCCGCCTCGGGCCCCCGTCATTTCACACCAAGCGCGGCGTCTGCAGAGCCCAGCTCCCGCGCAGGCCCACCCGGGGGTCACCACTTAGTCCACTGATGCCAGAGGCACCCGGCACAGGATGGCCCCCCGGGGACTGGCACTGTGCCCGTCTGCTGGGAGCTCCGCTGCTGTGCCAAGCTCCGCTGCTCACCAGGTACGAGAGAAGCCCCGTCGGGGGCCACGTGGGCCGGCCAGGGCCTCCCTCCCTGGTGTAAGCAGCAGGCTGAGGGCAGGTGGGGGAGGCCTCCGGGAGTGACTTAAGCATCCAGGTGGGAACCCTTGGTTACCCTTGCAGGGCCTGATTGGGGGCGGGGGGTGCCGCCCACAGCCCCGTCCACTGCACCCCGAGCCGGACGCACGGGCACCGAGGAGGCCGCCCAGTCCCTCATCTGCTAAGTCCGGGCCCCTCCTACTTACTGGGGGAGGAACAGACTCCTCTCCCCTCATGTCCTCTGGTCAGCCAGAGGAATCACCCAGCTTAATGCATTACCTCTTAACTCTCCCTACGGGCACCCCCCAGTTCAGATTCCTCTCCTTAGTTAGGGGAGGGGGTGCGGGGCCTGGGCTGGTGCCTCTGAGGGGGGGCAGCCCTGCAGAAGGGGGCGTCTCCTGTCTGCCCGCCTCCCGCTGTCTCCACAGCCTTCCTGGGTCTCGCTTCCGGGTCCAGCTGCAATCTCCCTGTCTGTTCCTCCCTGGGCGCCCCCCCCCACCCCCCAACTCAGGGCTCGCCGTGTGTCCCAGGTCCCCAGTCCCTCCTGTGGACCCCAGGAGCTCTCTGAATCTCTGCTCCCACCCGCCAGATTACCTGTCACACAGCTTTCCCCAAGTTTGTGCTCGAGCCTGAAGTCCTGAGTAAATCAAAGTGCCGGGGAAGGGCCTCGTCCCCCTGTGCAGGGCCCTCAGGAATCCATCTCCCCTGGCCAGAGCGACTCTCACGGTGTGTGTGTGGCGGGGGGCAGGGGCAGGTCTCAGGACAGAATCGAGTCGCCTGCCCTGCCGTCCTGTGTACACTTACTACAAAGATCCTCGAACCTTACTGTGCTTTAGAGCTGCCTGTAAGGTTGGATAGAAACAGGCTGCTGGGCCCAGAGCTTCTGATTCCGTCCGTCTGTCATAGGCTCACTGCTGTGCGTTCTAACAAGGTCCCAGGTGATGTCTGTGCTGCTGAGGTAGGGGCCACACGGCACCGCTGCTCCAGAAAATGAGGTGCATGCTGGGATCATCTCAGAAGTTTCACAATTACTGCTACCTGGCTCTGATCCCCAGATTTATTTTTTAACATGTTTTTATTGCTTTCAGACAGAGGAAGGGAGAAGGAGAGAGAGAGAAACATCAACGATGAGAGAATCATTGATTGGCTGCTGCCCGCACGTCTCACACTGGGGGGTCGAGCCCACAACCCGGGCATGTGCCGCTGACTGGAATCAAACCAGGACCTCCTGGTTCATAGGTTGACATTCGGCCACTAAGCAACACCGGCCGGGCCCCAGATTTAATTTATTTTTATTTCACTGGTTACAGTGAGGCCTGACGGGGTTTTGAAAAAGCCACCAGGTGGTTCCGTTTGCAGCCACATTGGAGAGCCAGTGCTCTGGATCTTTGCTCTTCGATGTGGGGGCTGTGGATGCTCCATTCACCTGGGAACTTGTTAGAAAAGCAGGACCTGGGACCTTCTGGACCAGGGTCTGCATTTTGACCACGCCACCCCCTCCCTCCAAACCATTCTTGGGAAGTCCCCACGCAGGGGGACACTTTGAATAGCAAAGCCCCACATCAAAACTCAAACGGTAATGAACCCAGGGATCAGCTGGCAAGTCTGTAAAAGTACAAATCTCTGGGGCTGTGTGGCCCAAAGAACATGGCTTCTTTCTTGTTAATCCTCATCCGAGAATGTTTTTTATTGATTTTAGAGTAAGGTGACCAGACGTCCCGCTTTTGGCGGGACAGTCCCGATTGAGACTTTTTTAAAAACGCCTCGGGACGAGGGACAAATTGTTAGAAATCGGGACGTCTGGTCACCTTATTTTAGAGAGAGACATGGATGTGAGAGAGAAACTGGTCAGTTGCCTTACACGTACATCCCAACCGGGGATTGAACTGGAAACGTGTGTCTGTGCCCTGCCCAGGAGTCAGACCCCTGACCGTTCGGGCCATGGGATGACGCTCTGACCGATTGAGTCACACTGGCGGGGCAACCTTGCATTTTTACAAGCATCCTTATCTCCCTTGTCACAGGTGATTCTGATCAGTTCTCACTTGCTTTTCCCTGACTTTCCTCCACCTAGAGATAACGGGCAAATCAGGCTTCCCATCTCGATGGGCGTGATCCTTAGCAAGTCTTAACCACTGTCATTCCTTGCATTCATTCATTCGTTTAGCGGAGGGTCACTCAGTGCCTCCTGGGGATGCAAAATCCATAAGGAGAGGGTTGAATAATGACGAAAATGATGTCAGACGTGCAAGCGTCCATCTGAATGAACACACGGGGCTCTTAACTTGAGCACCTGGTGTGAGATGTCAGAGAAGTTTTCCTCCCGAGAGTGGAGCGCAGAGCTGAGCTATTAAGGGCCAATAGGCATTAGGTGGTCACCGTGGGAGGGGAAACCTAATCGCACCTGTATCTTCTGCACTGAGGAAGCCAGGGTGCAGAGGAGAGGAACAGCCACGTAACCCTCCGAGGCAGGACCAAACTCCGTGCCTCCGCGGCGCTTCCCCACTAAAGCAGCTTCGCGTGGCGCCAGTGACTTGGGGCACTGTCTCGTGCTTCCTCCATCAAGGACTGAGTCTCAGAGATCTGCCCCACACAGGCACTTGGAGAAGGACGAGCTGCCGAGCGACAGGCTGACGCTAGGGATAGAGAAGGATGCGCCCCAGTTCCTGGGTCTGCCTGCTACGCCCCGTTTCACACGCTGGAAGAGCGGGTACCGCCCCCTCACTACTCTATTGGACGACCTGGTATGAGTGATAACAGTCCGGGCCAATGAGGGGAAAGGGGTGGGCCTCGCTCAGCTCCTCCCCCGTGGCCCAGGAGATATTTTGATTGGCAGATGACTTCAGCTTTGAAGGCACCTGTCTGTATCCCATTAGGTCCTCAGTCCTTAACTCCCACTCCGCATGCCTTCCTCTACTTTCCCTACCCATTTCCAGGACCGGCCAATGGCTTCAGGATGGACTATTCCTTCCCAACCAATTAAAAATGGTCCTAAACTTGACGGACGACTTCCCTCCCCTGATCAGCCTGGCTCCGCCCCCCTGCCAATTGGTTTAGGAAAGGGGGGCGGGTGTGTCCAATCAGCACGACACCAGCCTCTTGATTGACGCGCTGGCCCTCGCGCTAGCGTGTTGTGCCTTGAGGCGGGAGGAGGAGGAGGGACGGGGAACAAAACCTGAGCCAATCCTAGTAGCCTGCGCGGGAGGCCAATCAAACGCCGCGCCTTGGAGCCATTGTCCAATCGGCGAGAGGGGGGCCGAACGCATCCCTGCCAGGGACCAATAGGACGCGACCGAGCGGCAGGAGCGACGTGCAGCAGGCGCAATGGTCGGGCTATATTCAGGGCTTAGGGGGCGGGTCGGCGCCAGAGACGAGAAGAGAGGAGGGGAGGCCTCCGCCGCCGCCATCTTGGACCGGGCCCGTCAGCTTCCGCGGAGCCATCGGCAGACGCCGCGGCCTCCCTTGAGCCCCGACCCCGTCGTCAGAACAACCCCGGGCCCACTTCCCCCCACCCCACTTCCGCTCCGCGCCGTTATCGCGATAGCGCCCGGGCCCGGGGCGCGAGGAAAAAGGCGGCGGGCGCTCGCCTCCCTCGCCTATCGCGATACGCTCCTCAGCGGCGGCGCCAGCTCCTGTGGTGAGAGCGTCAGGCTCGACTGGGCCGGACCCCTTCCCCTTCTCCTCCCCGGCGCCGTCGACCGCCTTCCCCGCCGCCCCCGCCCCTGCAACACCGCCTCCTGTCTCGACATGGCCGCCCCCGCGCGGCGCCCGTGGGGTCCCCGCCGTCCGGGCCGAGCGCGCCTCCCCCCCTCCGCCCGCGACCCGGGCCGCGCGTGGCGTCCGCGTCTGCCTCGCGGGGTGCGGGGAGCGAGCCCGGGCGCCGTGCCGCCCCTCGGCGTCCGCGCGGCCGCGGGCGCGGGGTCCCCGGTGCCGGAACCCCTTCCGGGCAGGGCGCCCCTTCACGTGGGTGAGGGGCTGCGAGCCCCCCCACATGCCCCGGGCAGGGACGGCCGCCGGGTGCCCGCCACACGCGCCCGGCTCCTCGGAGACGGGGTGGGGTGAGCCCCCTGCACGCAGGACCCCGCTCCATCCCGGGCTCCGCAGCCCGAGGCCCCGCCAGTTTGCATTTAGGGCTCCGGTCCCGGCGGAAGCCCCGAGTGCGCCCGGGGAGCCGGTCTGTCCCGGGGTTGGTCCGGGCCGGTGGCTCCAGGTGCGGATCCTCCTGCTGTCACTCGCACTCTGGCTCCCTTTGGTCTCGGGGACCAGCTGGTCCCGCCTGGGTGGCACCCAAGCTCCCGCTTGCTCTGCGTTGCTCACCGCCTCCCGGTGTGCAGGATGCGCGGGGCAGGGGGCCCCCTGAGCCTGGCGCCTGCCCCTCGGGTCAGGGCCCGTCACCCCGCCTCCGCCCTGCAGGCCCAGGTGTGTGTGTGTTCGCCTTGGACCTTCCTCCCCGGCCCTCAGCTCGTCTGCTGCCCCTTCCGGGGTCAGGCTTCCAGCCCCGTTCGCATCAGTCCTTCCATTGGGGTGCATCTTTCCAGGAGGCAGGGGTTCCCCCCAACCCCCCATCCTGTGGACGTGTGAGCTTCCCAGCACCAAAGAGCCCTCTCCCCCACCCCGCCCACCCTGCTGGCACCTCCGGGAATATGCTTTCTCCCCAGGGCAGGGGGCCCTGTGGGTACTGCCTATCCGCCTGCCTGGGTGTTGGCCCCTCTGTCTGTCCCTCCTGGGTGCTGGGGGCCGTCCAGGGCTAGTGCCTCCTGGCTCAGGAGGCAGGAGCCTGGGGCGGAGGGAGACACCTGTCTGTTGTCACTCTCCCTGGGACGGAAGCGTCCTAAGGTGGGGCCTCGGGACCCAGCACACCCACCGGGCAGAGGCTCAGGTCCTGCCAGGCCGCGGTAGCGCCTCCCAGGCTAAGGGTTGCCTCCCAGCATCACTTCCCGGTGGCCCGGGCCTCCTCGTCCTGGGGACCCGGGGCGGCTTGGTGTCCGTCCCAGGATTCAGCCCTGCTCTCCCTGGGCCTGTGTGTGACAGCTCACCCCCACCCCGGGGCGGTCTGGGGCCTTTCATCTCGCTCCTGGGTCTGCAGAGCTGCGCGCTCACCTCAGCGCTGGCTCCCTAACCGCGGACGTGCCTTAAAGGACTCCTTTCGGTTAAGTCTCCTCGGCCGTTAGACCCCTCGCTGGCTGTCGGGAGCAGACCTGCTGCCTGGGAGGTCCCCAGAGCTGTGGGGTGCTCCTTGGAGACTGGAGCTCCCCTTCTCTCCGTCCTTTGCTGGGGGACCCCGGAGTGGAAGTGGGGTGCTAGGGGCGCAGGTCTCCCGGGCCTGCGGTGCCGGCCCTCGTCTGCAGGAGCTGCCTCCCGGGTCACGGGGGTCCCGTCCGGGTCCAGCCGTGTCCCTTGGAGGTTCTGTCCGAAACCACCGCGCCGGGCCCGGGTTCCCTGGCGCCTGCTCCCAGCTCCTCCAGGACTTCAGCTCTCCCGCCAGGCATTCCCCCGCAGTCAGGGGAGGTGGGGAAGGAGCGGGAGATGCGCCTTGTTTAGGGGCGTCAGCGGTGTCTGCCTGGGCTCCTGGGGAGAGGCAGGGGCACGCACTCCTGTGTGGCATCCTGTCCTCATCCATCCCGGGCCCCTGGTTGAGGTCTGGGCCCCGCGTGCTTCTTGGGTTGAGTCCCCCGGTGCCGCGGCTCCTGGGTCCTCCGGCTGCTCCCCTTCCCGGAGCTGGGCTTTCCGGGCTGGGCCTGGCCCCCTGGGCCGGGCTGGTTCTCTTGCTTGGCCTCTCGGTGCCACACCCACTGCCCATGCAGAGCAGCCTGTGGGGGGCCAGCGCCGCCTCCCCCAGGTTAGGGACCTGCCACCTTTATGGGCCCCGCCTGCTCCAAAGCCTGCCCTGTTTCCCCTCCTCTGGCCACGGGGACGTTCGGATGTAACTGAACTGCGGAGTGAAAGTTGCTGCCACTTTGCAAGTGTTGAATGTAGCCAGGACTGTGCTGAGCCGCTCCCCTGTGGTTGGGGCTCAGTCCTGGGCTCCCCCATCTCAGAGCGGGGAGCTGGGGCACAGCCTGGCGTCCGGCGTCCTCCTGTGCAGCCCTCGCTGCCAGCGCCCCCGCTCTCCCTGGCCTCGCTGTGGGTCCTCGGGCGTAGCTTCCTCCCCAGACAGAGCTCCAGGCGACCCCTCCCCCCGGGCCTCAGTCCCCCCGGGGTGCCTGCAGTTCAAGGTGAAGGTGCCCCCAGTCCCGGGTGCTTGCGCTGGCGGTGTGTGTGTCCGAGTCTACGTTTCCGATGCTCTGATACGTAACTCCTCCCTGCTTGCAGATAGCTCCTCCCGAGGTCCCCTTTCACCCTCTCCTCTCTGTCTCCTGCAGAGCTCCCCCTATCCTCCACCCCCCGCCTCTGGGGCCGCTGTCTGCCCAGATCACCCGCCCGCCCTTCCTGGGGCCGCCCCGTGGGTTGGACATGTTGTCCCCTTTGGTTTCAGGGTTCGCTCTGGGATAGACATTTCCGTGCTCTGAGGCTCTTCTGCTCGGACCCAGCCCTGCCAGTGTGTGTGTGGGGGGAGGGGGGGTTAGTGCTGCATGGTGACAGCGTGTCTGGCCCCCCCACCCCCTCCGTCCCTTACAGCTCACTCTGCCAGGCCCTTCTCCGGAGCGCGCCTGTTCTGTGCCCCCCGACGTGGCCTGGGCAGCCCTCGGGTGTTGGGGTCCCCAACCCCTGGGTGGGAAGGGAGGCCTCGGGTCTCACCTTCATCCCTAGCGGTCAGCTGGGTGCTGGGTGGCTTTTTTCTGCCCCGAACAAGACTTTGGAGTGTCGTCTGGGGCAGGGTGCCCCACGCTCTAGGAATTTTCCATTTCCTGGGTCAGATGCACATAGAAAGTATATGTTTCCTCCTTTCGACCAAGCCCAGGCCCGTGCTGGGCAGGTGAGGCGGCGTAGGGAACTGGCCGGTCCGTGTCCGCGGGCAGTAGGCGCACCCTCCCTCTCCCGCCCCCCGTCCCCCCACCCCCCCACCCCTCTTCCCAGCCTCTTTCCCGTCGGGCTTGCACCAGCCTGAGAGTAACTGCGTGTTCCTTCCCCCTCCAGCAGCGTCGGTCTCCGGGGGAGTATGAAGAGAGCGCGCCTATAGGGCAGGGAAGATGGCGGACAAGCGCAAACTCCAAGGTACGCGGCGGCCGCTGCCCTCGGAGCTCCCCTGTGGGCGCCGGCTGCCCGGCAGGTGCTCACCGCCCGCCTCTGCCCTCCCGCAGGTGAGATTGATCGCTGCCTCAAGAAGGTGTCCGAGGGCGTCGAGCAGTTTGAAGATATCTGGCAGAAGGTACAGGGGCTGGGCCTGCGAACCTGCGGCTCCAGCGGGCAGAGCCAGGGGGAGGGGGTGCTGAGGGCCTGAGGGAAGCAGCTCTGAGGTGGATTGGGGGGTGACCCCAGTGTCCCTGGCACAGAGAGATGCGTGGGCACTAGGGCAGCCAATACTGGGGGGGTCGGAGGTCCCAGGTCTCCGGCACAGACTGGGGCGGGCACTAGGGCAGCGAGTCCCGCACTGACAGCGTGCCCTCTCTCCGCCCCCAGCTCCACAATGCAGCCAACGCGAACCAGAAAGAAAAGTATGAGGCTGACCTAAAGAAGGAGATTAAGAAGCTTCAAGTGAGGGGCTGGGGGGCCGGACCCTGTGTCCTGAGGGGGGCAGGGTGGGAGCGTGGACTCTGGGTCCCAGGAAGAGGAGGGCTGGGCCTCGGGGCCCGGGCGCTGAGCAGCCTGACTGTCGGGCTTCTCCCCTCAGCGGCTGAGGGACCAGATCAAGACATGGGTAGCGTCCAACGAGATCAAGGACAAGAGGCAGCTCATAGACAACCGCAAGCTCATCGAGACGGTAGGAGGCGGAACTGCGTCTGAGGGTGGAGGGCCCCTGTCCCGGGAAGACACTGGAGGGGACAGGTTGCCACTGCGTCTCCACAGCAAATGGAGCGGTTCAAAGTCGTGGAGCGAGAGACCAAGACCAAAGCCTACAGCAAGGAGGGCCTGGGCCTGGCGCAGAAGGTGGACCCCGCCCAGAAGGAGAAGGAGGAGGTTGGCCAGTGGCTCACGGTGCGTTGGGCAGAGCCGAGGAGGCCCTCGGGCCCCCCCCCCCCCGGCCCCCTGGGGCTGCTGGCTGACCCCGCCTTTCCTCCCCCAGAACACCATCGACACCCTGAACATGCAGGTGGACCAGTTTGAGAGCGAAGTGGAGTCCCTGTCGGTGCAGACGCGCAAGAAGAAGGGCGACAAGGATGTGAGTGGGGCCGGCACCTTAGGGTGGGCCGGGCGCTCGGGCGGGGCCAGGGCCTAGCTGACTGAGGCTGGCGCAGGGAGGAGGTGAGGCAGGCTCAGTCCCTTCTGGGTGAACGGGCATCGAGGAGGGGGAGTTGGGGGACAGTGTGTGAGAGGCCTGATGGGCCTGGGGTCCAGCCGCTGCAGCCGGGTCCTCGGGAGAGGACAGCACAGGCAGGGCGGCACGAGGGACGGTGCATGCGGCCGAGGAGCAGTGAGGTGTGCAGCGGCCAGAGGCTCCGCCTCCGGTTCCAGAGCCCGGCGTGCAGGTGTGAGGTCGCAGGGAACAGCTGGTCCCCGGGAGCTGGTGCGGGGATGGCCTGCGAGAGGGAGGGGCTGGGCATGTGTGTGAGCCCAGGGCTCTGGGAACCGGGCGGGGTGCAGAGCCACGTGCTGAATAACGTTCGGATCAGCTAGGGACTGTGTGCATGATGGTGGCGCAGGAGGTCATAACGCTGTAAGCAAAAAACTTGTTTGTGACGTTGGAAGGACAGGCTGAACCCAACTACGATGTTGAACTTGACGTTGAAGTTCCCGCCTGAGCGGTGGTTGAAGTGGAGGCGGAGGCTCAGCGTGCCGATCCCTGCCCTGGGCGAGGCGTGGGCTCGGGAGGAGGGCGCCCGGGAGCCCTCGCCACACACACGCACACTCGTGTGCACACACTCACTTCCCGTGGCTCCTGGTCCTCTCGCTCCTAGCAGTACTGCTCCCCTCCAGCTCTGTCCCCATCTCCCCGCCCCCGGCCAAGCCCCTCTTTGTTTCTCATCTCTACCGTTATCTTCCTGGGTCTCCTGATTTCTGTTTCCCCTTTCTCTCCCCTTCCCTTCTTTCCCTGTCTTCCTCCTCCTCTCCCCTCCCTCTCACCAACATTCCATCCCCCAGCCCCCCTCCCAATGAGCACGCTCACACGGGCACCTGCACACTCGGGCCTCGGCGCTGTGTTCTCGCTGTGCCTTTTCTGTTGGGGCTGTTGAGACACAAACACTTAGGTGGTGTTACCGTCGCTGCACTGCTCAGCGCAGTGACGTGCGGACAGGCTGCAGCCGGGGCGGAGTGAGCCAGGCCTCCCAGGTCCGCTCAGTCCTGACGACGCATCCTCAGGACATGTCCCTGCTCAGTGACGCGTGGTCCTGCGATAGGCCCATGCGGAGAGGGGTTAGACTTGGGGTTAAGGTGCCAAATCCCAAAGGGAATGGGGGCCTTGCGAGGAGCAGGCACCTGCAGTGCCTGGGAGCCAGGCTTCAGTTCCGGGCTCCTTAGTGGGCATAGCTGGGGCGGGGCATGGTGTGACAGGCTGTGATTGCAAACCGAGAGCTCCCTCCATTGGCACTGGGAGCCGGACAGGAGGTGGGGCCCAGCAGAGGCGGGTCCAGGCCTCAGGAGGCCCACGGGACCGGCTGTGGGAGGCGTGCGGGGACGTCGGGGCAGCTGTGGGCTCCCGAGGGCCGGGGCGGGGCCGCTGGGACTGAGGACGGGTTCTGTGGGGCAGGAGGGCCGGGCGGCGCCCGCAGCCCCTGAGCTGGCCCTGGGCTCACCAGCAGAAGCAGGACCGGATCGAGGGCCTGAAGCGGCACATCGAGAAGCACCGCTACCACGTGCGCATGCTGGAGACCATCCTGCGCATGCTGGACAACGACTCCATCCTGGTGGACGCCATCCGCAAGATCAAGGACGACGTGGAGTACTACGTCGACTCCTCCCAGGACCCCGACTTCGAGGAGAACGAGTTCCTCTACGACGACCTGGACCTCGAGGACATTCGTGAGGCCCCGGGGGGCCTGCGTGCGGGGCGGGGCGGGCCGGGGCGGCAGGAGGCCCAGCAGCTCAGCTCCCCCTCCCTCCCCTCCCACAGCACAGGCGCTGGTCGCCACCTCCCCCCCCAGCCACAGCCACATGGAGGACGAGATCTTCAACCAGTCCAGCAGCACGCCCACCTCCACCACCTCCAGCTCGCCCATCCCGCCCAGCCCGGCCAACTGCACCACGGTGAGGCCCGGCCCCCACCCGCACGGGGCGGGTCTCAGGGAGGGGCATCGAGGAAGCGAGGACCCCGCATCCAGGGTCTGATGAGATGACAGGCCACACGGGGTCCTGGGTGTGGGGGGGAGGCTGGCTGGGGGGAAAGGGGAGGATGGGAGGGTGCTGGCTCCAGGAGACAAGGACCTGGGGAGCCGGGCTTCAGTTCCCAGTGGGAATCCCCAGTGAGATTAGGTCACGGGGACTTGAGTGCTGGGCCGGAGGGGGGTCAATTCCGGGGGTCAGAGCTGACACACATTCTGCCTGCCGCCCTCCCTCAGGAAAACTCGGAAGATGACAAGAAGAGGGGGCGCTCCACAGACAGTGAAGTCAGCCAGGTGGGTCTGACGGGCAGGACGCTTGCTCCTTCTCTGGCTCCAAAGTTGCAGGGAGCCCGAGGATGCCGCAGAGCGGCTCTGGGACAGGCCGCCTGAGAGCCGGGGCAGCAGCCGGGGCTGCGGTCAGAGGCTGCTCGGAGGGCATGTCCGCCCTGGGCGGGAGGGAGACCTGAGCTTGTCCAGTGGGTAAAGGCGCCATTCCTGGGCCAGGCATGGGGGTAACGGGCGAGTTGTCAGTGAAGGCCAAGGCGCCGGGCGGGAGCCGGCCAGGTGTGCGGGGGCCGGGCTGAGGGCCCCGAGGGACGCGCGCACCCTCGAAATGGGCCCGACCAGCCTGAGACCCACCTTTTCTTTGGAGGCTCTGGGTCTTGGCTGCACTGTGCCGGGTTTGAGGGTTTCCGGGGGGAAGCACTTAGGGTTTCTGCCGCCCCTGGTGGCCCTGCGAAGCTTGGGAGGCGCTGTCCTGGTGGGAGCGGGGCTGCCCAGGCCCAGGCCTCCGTGGGCTCCGGGAAGCTGTCCCGGGCCCTGGGCAGGCAGTGGGGGAGGCTGAGGTGCAGGAAGGAGCACGTGTCCCGCTGGGTGTGGTGACACAGGGGCCGGGGCCTCTGCCAGCCGCATGGCCTCGGGAGCATGGGCACGCCAGCAGCCGCTTTCCGGGGGTGCTCCCACGTGATGCTGGAACCACCGGCCGGGCAGCTCTGTCCTCTGGGCTCTGGGCTGGTCCCACTGGGCCCGGGTCACGGACAGCGGTTTCTCCTGTGTGTCCGCCCCGTCGGGGACGTTGTGGGGATGTGTGCAGGCCGGGCGGGGACCGTGGGTGCGGCTGGGACGGCCTCAGTGTTGGAAGCACAGGTGCTGTGGAAGCCGTTCCGGTCCCTTGAGGCCGCCCCGTCCCCGGAAGGGGTGCGGGAGGCTCGGCACCCCTGCTGGCCCGCGGGCCCTGACCCTCTCCTCTCTCCCCCCGCAGTCTCCAGCCAAAAACGGCTCCAAGCCGGTCCACAGCAGCCAGCACCCTCAGTCCCCCGCCGTGCCGCCCAGCTACCCGCCCGGCCCCCCGCCCGCCGCCTCGGCTCTGAGCACCGCCCCCGGCAACAACGGGGCCCCCGCCCCGGCAGCACCTCCCAGTGCGCTGGGCCCCAAGGCCAGCCCGGCCCCGAGCCACAGCGCGGGCACCCCCGCCCCCTACGCCCAGGCCGTGGCCCCCCCGGCCCCCAGCGGGCCCAGCGCCGCCCAGCCCCGGCCCCCCAGCGCCCAGCCCGGCGGGGGCGGCGGGGGCGGCAGCAGCAGTAACAGCAGCAGCAGCGGCGGTGCCGGCAAGCAGAACGGGGCCACCAGTAAGCGGGGCTGCTGGGGGACGGGGTCCGGGGTCGCCGCTGGAGGCCCCTCTCATCCCCTCCCTCCCGCAGGCTACAGCTCCGTCGTGGCGGACAGCCCGGCCGAGGTGGCGCTGGGCAGCAGCGGGGGCAGCAGCGCCGGCAGCCAGGCTCTGGCCCCCTCTGGCCCCCACAACCCCCCTTCCAGCACCTCGTGAGTGTCGGCGCCGTCAGGGTTGGGGACGCACATGCAGGCCCGGGTGCCCCTCTGTTGCCCATGGTGCGGACACAGGCCTTGCCCTGGCCCGTTGGGACTCCCCCGTGAGCTGTGTCCCACCTCTTCCATCCGGGACACTGGGCACGGCCCCCACCCCCCACCGCCCGGCACTCCGGCTCCCTCTTTCCCGGAGGAGCTCCGCTGTGCCTGCCCACGGCCACCTCACTCCCTGGAGGGCTCTGTCTGCTTCCAGAGGGGAAGACCCCAAAGTTTTCCTTCCCATCCCAGCCACCTCCCCCAGGTCCCCGAAGCCCAGGGCACGCCCCCCGAGAGCTTCCCCTCCTGGTTGGGACCTTGGGAAGCCTGCTCTCCGGCTCTGCCCTCCCCTCCCCTCGGGGGGCTCCCAGGGGGTGTCTGCCTGAGGCACCACGTCTGTGGCTGGAGCGCCTGCTTCCACGTCCTGCTCCAGGGACCGTCCGGGGCTGCCCCGTTTCCGGCAGCCTTTCCCTCAGCCCTTCCCTCCGTCCGTCCCTCAGCCCACCCCCGCGGTCCCTCTGCTGGCCTCCGTTTTGCCTCCGTCACCCTCCTGCCCGTCCCCCCATGGGGACACTCCGCTGAGCCCCGCCTGGCCCCTCTGCAGGAAAGAATCCAGTGCAGCTGCCCCCGCCGGCGCTGGGGGCGTGGCCCCAGGCTCAGGGAACAACGCCGGGGGACCCAGCCTCCTGGTGCCACTGCCCGTGAACCCTCCCAGCTCCCCGACGCCCAGCTTCAGCGATGCCAAGGCAGCCGGCGCCCTGCTCAACGGACCCCCGCAGTTCAGCGCCACCCCGGAGATCAAGGTGGGGGCAGAGCCTGTGTCCTGCCCCTGCCAGACCTTCGCTGCACCCCCTCTCCCCCCCAGGCTCCACTGCCACCCAGCTCCGCTCCTCACACTGTCACTGCTTTCCCTCTGGCCTTTCCCTTCCGTCCGGGTTTCCCCCACTGCCTGCTACCCGGCCTGGCCCTGGCGCCTGGCAGTTGGTGCTCACTGGCCTGCTGTCTGCTCTCCAGGTGCCCACCGCCCTCTCCTCAGTCTGTCTCCCTTTCTCCTCTGACTTCCTTCGCACTCACTGTCCGCTCTCGGCCTCCTGCTCCTGGAGGAAGTCACTGAGTGAGGAAAGGCCTGTCCACAGCAGCACCCTCAGTCCCCACTCGCCCCGCCCCTGGGCGCCCCCTGGGCGTCAGTGCTGAGGGAATGCAGCCCGTGCCGCTGTCCGGGCGGACAGGGCCCGCCGGGTGGGGAGCGCACTGGCGCTGTGGGCTGACCTGTGAGGCGGCCCTGCAAGGCCTCTCGGGGGCCGAGTCTAAGCGGGGACCCAGACGGGGAGGTGGGGTCACAGTGACGGAGGAAGAGAAGTGGTGTCTGCTGCATTCTAGGCGGGCTCCTGCCGAGCGCTCGCTGGAAGGCTGGGTGGGGTTCAGCAGGGAGAGGAGGAAAGGAGTGTTTGCTCTGCAGGAGGGGTGCAGGCCGGCTGCCTGACGAGGTGGGTGTCACCAGAGGGCAGGACACTGCGGGTTAGACCCGGTCCCGCAGGCAGCGATGCCCGCTGTCCGGGCCCAGCCCGCGTCGCCCTGTTCCTCCCTCCACCCGCCCGGGCAGTCACCACGGGACGCTGCCTGGAGGGCTGGGAGCCGGGCCGGAGCCAGCACGCCCGCCCCGAGCGTCAGTGTCCCTGTTCCTGGAGCAGCGTCCTCAGCTGGGGGCTCCCTCAGGGAGGCACAGGCAGTGGGGGAGCCCTGGAGAGGTCCCGGGGCCGGGAGAGCAGGACGGAGCGGTGCCGTGAGGGTCTGCTGTGTCCTGCAGTGTCTGGAGCATCGGCGCAGGTCCAGCTCTGCTGTGGGTGCTCCCTGGCCGGTCCCCCGTTGGGGCGCAGCGAACCCTGTCTCAGGCCAAAGGCTCTGGCTGTGCCGGCCTCCGAGTCCCCAAGTCCCCGCACCAGCCCCCCGCCCAGGGCCTGAGGCACCGGTCTCTCCCCAGGCCCCCGAGCCCCTGAGCTCCCTGAAGTCCATGGCAGAACGGGCAGCTCTCGGCTCCGCCATCGAGGACCCCGTGCCCACGCTGCACCTGACGGAGCGAGGTGAGGTCCCTGCCCCGGGGCTGAGGGCCCAGCCAGGGAGGGCGCCCGGCCTCACCCACCGCCTGGCCCGCCTCCCCACAGACATCATCCTGAGCAGCACGGCCGCGCCCCCCGCCTCGGCCCAGCCGCCCCTGCAGCTGTCGGAGGTGAACATCCCGCTGTCCCTGGGCGTGTGCCCCCTGGGGCCCGTGCCCCTCACCAAGGAGCAGCTCTACCAGCAGGCCATGGAGGAGGCCGCCTGGCACCACATGCCCCACCCCTCCGACTCGGAGCGCATCAGGTGAGGGGCTGCCGGGAGGGGACCTGGTCCCCAGCCCTGAGGCGAGGCGGAGCCCCGGGCACCGACGTGGGCTGCACAGGAGGTGGGCCGAGGGGGTCAGGGTGGTGAGCTGACAGCTCCATCCATCCAGGAGCGGTGTGTGGGTGTGTGTGGGGAGGGGGGGGGGATAGGTGACGGTGTGTGTGTGTGGGGGGATAGGTGACGGTGTGTGTGGGGGGGATAGGTGACGGTGTGTGTGGGGGGATAGGTGACGGTGTGTGTGTGGGGGGGGGGATAGGTGACGGTGTGTGTGTGGGGGGGGGATAGGTGACGGTGTGTGGGGGGGATAGGTGACGTGTGTGTGGGGGGGATGGGTGACGGTGTGTGTGTGGGGGGGGGATAGGTGACGGTGTGTGTGTGGTGGATAGGTGACGGTGTGTGTGTGGGGGATAGGTGACGGTGTGTGTGTGTGGGGGGGATAGGTGACGGTGTGTGTGTGTGGGGGGATAGGTGAAGGTGTGTGGGGGGGGATAGGTGACGGTGTGTGTGTGTGTGTGGGGGATAGGTGACGGTGTGTGTGGGGGGGGGGTAGGTGACGGTGTGTGTGTGTGGGGGGGGGTAGGTGACGGTGTGTGTGTGGGGGGGGATAGGTGACGGTGTGTGTGTGGGGGATAGGTGACGGTGTGTGTGTGGGGGATAGGTGACGGTGTGTGTGGGGGGGATAGGTGACGGTGTGTGTGTGGGGGATAGGTGACGGTGTGTGTGTGTGTGTGTGTGGGGGATAGGTGACGGTGTGTGTGGGGGGGATAGGTGACGGTGTGTGTGTGTGGGGGATAGGTGACGGTGTGTGTGTGTGGGGGGGATAGGTGACGGTGTGTGTGGGGGGGATAGGTGACGGTGTGTGTGTGGGGGGGGGATAGGTGACGGTGTGTGGGGGGGGGGATAGGTGACGGTGTGTGTGGGGGGGATAGGTGACGGTGTGTGTGTGTGTGGGGGGGATAGGTGACGGTTGTGTTGTGGGGGGGGATAGGTGACGGTGTGTGTGTGGGGGATAGGTGACGGTGTGTGTGGGGGGGGGGATAGGTGACGGTGTGTGTGTGGGGGATAGGTGACGGTGTGTGTGTGTGGGGGGGATAGGTGACGGTGTGTGTGGGGGGGGGGGATAGGTGACGGTGTGTGTGTGTGGGGGGGGTAGGTGACGGTGTGTGTGTGTGGGGGGGGGGATAGGTGACGGTGTGGGTGTGGGGGATAGGTGACGGTGTGTGTGTGGGGGATAGGTGACGGTGTGTGTGGGGGATAGGTGACGGTGTGTGTGGGGGGAGATAGGTGACGGTGTGTGT